CGAATAAATCTGTGTCCAATAATTTTGTGTCCAATAATTTGGTGTCGAATCGATCGGTGTCGAATCGTACTGTGGTCAAACGGAACACGCCCCACCTTATTACTTCCACCATGCTTAATCGCGCATTTATCTGTAGTATATGTCACGTATACTATAGATAAATGTGCGCTTAAGCATAAAACGGACCGCAGCCTATGTATTACGCGATCGGTGTAAACTAGGCTTAAGTTTATGGCTAGTACTTAACGTAACATAACGCGCTACGAAAGAGTTTGTGCAGAAGCCCTAAAGAGCCGTCTACAATGGAGAGTTGTAGGCCGTAATGGTAAGAAATTGACCAATCACAGACAATTTACAGAAGAATAATCGATTGTGATTTGTCAATTTCTTACTGTTACGGCCTACAACTCTCCATTGTAGACGATTCTTAAAGAGCCGTCTACAATGGAGAGTTGTAGATTGTAATAGTAAGGAATTGACCAATCACAGACTAAGTACAGAAGAATAATCGATTGTGATTTGTCAATTTCTTACTGTTACGGCTTACAACTCTCCATTGTAGACGGCTCTTAAGGGTCGTCTACAATGGAGAGTTGTAGGCCGTAATAGTAAGAAATTGACCAATCACAGACTAAGTACAGAAGAATAATCGATTGCGATTTGTCAATTTCTTACTGTTACGGTCTAAAACTCTCCATTGTAGACGACCCTTAATAAAGAATGGACATAACAGAACGCAATGGGTGTGTTTAGCCGAAGTTAGCGCTACGTAGCGCTACGTAGCGGCTTCATGTAGCAGTTGCAAGTGCTGCGTTACTTCTATAGAACATGCTGCGCGTAGCAATACTGTCCAGCAGAAGTAACGCAGCAATTGCAACTGCTACATGAAGCCGCTACGTAGCGCTACGTAGCGCTAGCTTCGTCTAAACACACCCAATCTTTGTGTAGCAATTTTCTTGCTGTTCTCTTTCGTGTTTATCACATTTTCGAACTGCTGTTTGTTTTTTGGTCGATTCTTTTTTTTGTCAGGACTGTCAAGAGTATCGAGTTTGTAAAGTGACTACGAAGACGATGGATCATCAAACTTACAAAGTACACAATCCTGATGATTTTAATAGGATCACCAAAGGGATCAAGGTTGCACGATGCATGCAATCGCCACCATCCTATGGTAAGCTGATCTCTTGTTGGCAACGTGTTGATAATGAATTTGTTTAAAGAAATATTTGCTAAATAAATGTAAGTATTTGGTAAATTTACACAATTATGATATATTTTTTCTGGTAGTTTAAGGACTGGTCCACCTTTCGATAAATCTCAGCTTACTTGACAGGTTATTATCTATATGATAGAAACCTGACTAGCGCATCTCTCACTGTTCTTTATTTCTACATATTTGTCTGTTAGATACGACTTATACAGTACCGAGAGTGCTATGTAATTCATCTTTTGGTTTCTGGTCATTTATATAAATTTTAGTGACACGGAACAATGCAAATCAGAGTTTTACCCATATAGATTACTTGATACTTTATCTAAAGGTGGAACAACCAGCCCTAAATTATAGAAAACAATCTAAAAAATAATTTTAATATAGTGAAATGATATATAAGATAGAATATTTATTTTTGGTACTCTTGCAGAGTATGTTGTAAAAATGTGATAATATATAACATGATAAAATATAAAGATCACTATTTATCAATAAATTCAGACTTTGCTTATATGTCTAAGTGAGCTGAAAGTATTAAAAGTTAATATTAGGAGTTAATAATATCAAGCTTTTCTTGGATTTATGAAGATAAAGAAAACTTCTCAAGGAATTCCAAAGATAAATATTACTGTTTCATTAAAAAATTAGATCAATCATCTTTTGCTAAAATGATCTTTAAAAATGTGTTTAAAAGACTTACATTTTCCAAATATAACTTAATACATAAAAAGTATTTTAAACATAACATTTTTTGCTTTGCAGTACCTGATAGCGAACAAGTGTTAAGTCAACTGGTGGTATCTGATTCTTTGTGTTGTTCTTATTGTAACACTGTATTTGAGGACAAGGTGCAGCAGAGACTCCACTATAAGCTAGATTGGCATCGTTACAATCTCAAGCAACATCTAAATGGTCAAAAGTCAATTAATGAGGATAGTTTTAACAGGTTGGCTGGTGAAGGTACAGTCTGAGAGAAGATACACAGTGATGATAATCATAGACTTTATGAACAGTTAGATATATTGAAATTTTGTAGGCGACATGTCTAGTCTGTCTGGTAGTGAAGTTGAGTCTGAGAACGAAGAAGATACTGGTACTTCAGAGACTGGAACTTCATCTAATGATCAAGGTAAGAACGAATCAGCAAGCAAGAATGGCTCTGCAGCTCTCAACAGATCTAGAAAAACAGAGAAACGTGGGAAGACAGTTGAGTCAGATATTTCGGACACAGAGTACAATGAGGAAATGTCTAAGGAGAGAAAATTACAAGCTGTTGCCAGTCGCCATACAAAAGTGTTTTTTGAAAACGACGATGGCAATATATTCAGTATCTACCGATGTTTACTGCATCACAAGAAGGTCCGTTAACTATCATTTGATTAAAAATTTCCATGTAGAGATTTATATTATTGTTGCTATATGCAATATTTAAGTGTATATAATTATACGAAATATTATCTTGTAACTTGATCTTTGTTAGAGTTACTTGGCGTGCTCTATACTTGCCACATCGGGAGATATGCAATTACGTTTTAGGATATTCCTGAAAAGGACGGCGAGATGATTGCTCAGGCATTGGACAGCGGCAAAAAGACCAAGTTGACAGTCATCATGGTTGGCGGTGGACATTTTGCTGCGGCTGTATTTCAAAGTACGCATAGTGCATTAAAAACATCTTGCAAGTGTGTACGTATATTTGTTTTATCGATATATTTTACTATATGGCAGATGGCGAGGCTATCGTGCACAAAACCTTCCATTCTTACACTGTTCGAGCAAAACAGGGCTTCACTCAGAGTTCTCGTACGAACGGTAATCACGCGAAAAGCGCTGGTGCTAGTTTGCGAAGATATAACGAAGCGTCACTCATTCAGGTACATTTCTGCAAAAGTTACTAAATTAGAAGAATTTACTAAATTAGAAATTGTTTTATAGTTAATTAATGTAATATTCAATTATTATTGATAACTGCCAAATAAGAAAGTGATTATTTAAGCACGTGCAAGAAATATTGGAATCATGGTCGATACATATCAATAATTCATCGGCTATCTTATACCGAGCAGTCGGACCGTGCAATCGCATGGTGCTTTTTGGTGGCAAAAATCCTCCTTTAGATAAGAATGATCTAAGAATACGACCACTGCCATTTCCCACGCGTAGAGCTACATTTAGAGAAGTACAAAGGGTATATGATGTAATAAGCACCATAGAGATCTATGGTAAACAATAATTCTTGTGCCAATTTTGTCAGTGCATATTTAAATAAAATATTTATTTTTTTTTGTAATAACATTGTAGGTTCTGCGGAAGATTTCACAGATTGCTTTCCCAACTCTCCGCGACAACCGATACGTAAGAAAGTTTTGAAGACGGAAGTGATGAGTGAAATACCTGAAGGGGATGACAGTACCGAGAATAACCTTAATGTTAACAATAGTAATCTTCAGGAAACTGATAAAATTAAGACACCTGCCCAGTCTACTCCAGAAAAACAACATCGAAATTCTCGTCCACATATAGATAGAGCGAAGCCGAGGAAAAGCCCGAATCGACCACTGCCAGGTATACGCAATATTAACAGTACGTTAGCCGCATACAGGATATAATTTTATAAGATATAATTTTACGAAATTAAGATATAATTTTACGTGAAAAAAGCGATTAGAGCGACAGATTTATTGCTCTTATTCCAGCGGTTACAGCGGTTTTTGTAGTTTGAACTGTTTACAAAGTGTTATCGTTCAACCGCTGTGTAAAATGCTGATGCACTATCGACAATGCATGCAATGTTGCCGGAAGATAGCATTTTGAGATTCTATACACATACTGAAAATTTGTAGTATATGTAACGTAAACGACAGTAATGGCAGTAAATATCGAGACGAATAGACAATATCAAGAGGCACGGTAGTGCCTCGCGCCAAGTATATGCACAAACAAAGTGCGCGCGCGAGGTACCCCGTGTTTCTTATACGCGAGAATGGCCGAAAAGAGTTTTCGAGATTTTGAGATCTCAAGAACGACTAAACCGATCGAGTTCGGCCCACACTCAATCGAAAGTTGAGGTCGAGGTACGAAAAAAAGTATTTCTTGGGTTTTTTCCTCCGTGCCTTCCCAACGAAGATATCTGGATCTGGATACAAATACGAAATTTTCGAAAAACTAAGTTCACATCACATTAAGAAACGTCCAAGAGCCTCCGCACAAACTCTTTCGTAACACGTTACGTTACGTTAAGTTGGCCGTGAACTTAAATTCGTGCGTAAACTTGAACTTCATTCAACGCACAAACTAATACTTAACGTATCGTAACGTTAAATACTAGTCATAAACTTAGATTTGTATGTAAACTTGAACTTTATTCAACGCACAAACTAGTACTTAACGTAACGTTACGTGTTACGAAAGAGTTTGTGCGGAGGCTCCAAGTAGGACAGCGTGACTTTACAGACTTCGCCGTCAGAACGAAACGTGAATCTGCTCTTGTCATCGCTATGTGGCGACACTTTCGTGCACAAATCAAGATTTATCTGTATGCGTTCAATTTGAGAAGAAAATTTTCCTGCGCATAGGGAAAGAAAAGCGGACAAAGTAGCGTAGGGAAAGCGTTGCGTTTGGGATTGTTGCTGAAACACTTGACAGCCAAGGCTGTAGAGTAAAGAAATTTTTTAGTAAAGAAAGTGCGCAAAATTTTTGCTCATTCGGTTTCTCTTCTCCAATTGAACGCAGTATAGATGTGTATCAAGAGGCACGGTAGTGCCTCGCGCTAAATATGTGCGCTAAGTATGAGTGCGAAGTGTGTGCGCGCTGCGCGAGGTACCACGTGCTTCATTTATATGCAAGTAGTGCCGCTGAGAAGATAATTATATATAACACGCTGTAAAAAAGATAATGTGAGAAAGTGAAATAGAAAATACGATATATGTAGATATAAGTAGATGTAATTAGGGGGGTATTCGGGGTCTTTCACATACGTAATGCAAAATTGGCATTCTGTGTGATTTTTAGAATTGAAATTTCAATTCGAAAAACTCACGTGAATTATTTACACGTGAAAGCGTATAGAAAAATGTATTCTTACATTTATACGCACATTTATCCGCACAACATCCTGCGAACGGCTCTTTACGACCATTCATTTATTAGTTTAGAAAAAGATAGACCCCGAGATGATTCTCATTATTAATTGATAAGTAGATGTACTTTGAACATTATGCGCATGTGCAGTGACATATAATACATAGGACCATTCTACAATGAGTTGAAAATGTCCCGTTGCCAGTTTATTTAGCAATTACGAAAAGAAAAGTATTATTTCTGGTTGCGCTTTGTCGTTACGGTTTCTAAAAAAGAGTTGGCCAACTTTTAACTTTTGTTAACAGCAACTGGCAACCGCAACACGTAAAATAATACTTTTTTCTTAATAGTCGCAACTGGCGACGGGACATTTTCAACTTATTGTAGAATGGCCCATAGAGAGACAACAGAGGCTAATATAAAAAATTGCGTTTAATTAAATAAGAAATATAAAAAATATAAAAAATGAAAAAAATAATATATTGTATATAAGTAAAACAAGACAAATTATTTTAGGTATATAAAACTTCAGAGAAAAATAGGATGAGAAGTAAATATTAAGAAGTGCATTGTGTTGCAGTAACAAAAATGTTTGTCAAACCCATATTCTACAAAAATGTGATATCTGAACAAAATACCTTTTCAAAAAAAGGTAAAAAATGGCGCTAAGTACACGCACAACTCGTATTTCTAGAAAAAGTATTACTATAAAAATCTTCCTGTACAAGATCTATTCTACAAAAGAAATAATATCAATAAGTTACGCCAAGTAAAATCTTTTATACATTGTTACAAAAATATATAAAATATTATTTAAAACTTTGTAAGTTGTTTTCTACGTTGTAAAATAGAAAATATTCTAAATCAATAAAAAGTTTAAAATATTGCATGACCACTGCACTTTTTATATAAAGCACTCATTGATGTAAGAAATGACTTCGCCTTGCGTGGAAAATCTTAAACTATGTCGTGTAATCATACATATAGATTTTGCTTTGTGTGAAAAGTCAAAAACTCATGTAGAATGTTTCAAAATAAAAAATATTTAATGTAAAAAAACTTGGCGCAGCTGCACCGAAAACTAAAGACAGAGTGCAGCTAAATATTAACAATCAATATTAAATTGAGGATCTCCTCAGGCTCATGAACTTTATTAAACTTAATAAATGAATAAATAATTAGTCTTAAGGAGCCGTTCTAAATCTATATGTATGACTCGATATAGTTTAAGATTTTCCACGCAAGGCGAAGTCATTTCTTACATCAATGAGTGCTTTATATAAAAAGTGCAGTGGTCATGCAATATTTTAAACTTTTTATTGATTTAGAATATTTTCTATTTTACAACGTAGAAAACAACTTACAAAGTTTTAAATAATATTTTATATATTTTTGTAACAATGTATAAAAGATTTTACTTGGCGTAACTTATTGATATTATTTCTTTTGTAGAATAGATCTTGTACTTTTATAGTAATAGTTTTTCTAGAAATACGAGTTGCGTGTGTACTTGGCGCGTTTTTTTACCTTTTTTTGATGCATATAACGATATAATTTTTGAAAACTTAAAATATAGATTATTTAGCTGACAAAAATATGACAGATGATAACTATTTAATATAATAATTTAATAGAATAATAAAACAACAATGATAATGTAAGTGACAAGTAAAAAACAACACGAAATATGTTACTCAGTAAAATTTGTTTTCCCTTGTGTCTTTTTTCATATAAAATATAAAATAATTGTCGCTGTAATAGTAGAGCGACGAAAGTCATTACGTGGTATTTTTTGTCGCTCAAACTCAGTTTCGGTGGCTCATAGAAATGTATTTTTATGAACCTTTAAGATTATTTTTTTACATAAAGAAAACATTCTTGTTTTTACAATAAATATTTTAGGTTTTGTAATGTTTACTTCAAGAGTCAATTATTATCAAAAAAAAACTTTTATTATTTTATAATGGAAAATAAATTTGATTGTACAGATATTATTGTTAGACTAGCGCAATCATCGTCTGAATCGGAATTAGATGCTACAAATACTGTGGATATTACCTTAGTTGAACAAGATCATGAGGCCGATTTTACTGAAAATTTATTAGCTTTTCAAGATACTGTTCCAAGATATCTGAAGAACAAGAAAGCTCACCGACAGAAAAAAAAAGTGAAGAAAGATCGTAAGTTCGGTTTTTATAAGGTTTTTTCTATGGAAAAATATATGATGAAAAAAAATTCACATATATAATTTTTTATTTTTAAATAATTTTTATATCAATCAGCTCAAGTGATAAATGAAGTATTGATAGACGCTAAAACAAAATTGTGGACTGCGTGTAAACAAGGCGATAACGATCTGCTATCGTCAGTTATCGATAATCTCTTAGCAAAAGTTAAGAAATGCGAAAAAGAGCAAAATAAGAAGGATGTTACTACTGGTTGCTCGTCATTCGATAATAATCTCGTAAATACAAACGATGTAGCAAAATTGGTTAATGATACTAATGAAGATGGTAATACAATGTTGCATTTGGCGGCACTCGGTGGATACTGTGAACAAGTATGGTGTGTGTTGTAATTTGTGCTTAACAAAAAAATTGTGTAAAGTTCAAACATATTTTATATAAATTGTTTCGTCTTTAGGTTACTGTTAGAAATCGGATCTGATCCTTGTAACAAGAACAAAAAATTGCAGACGCCATATGCTGCTGCCAGTGATAAAAAAACTAGAAATACATTTAGAAGATTTATGGAAGCTAATCCGGATAAATTTAATTACCAAAAGGTAAGAGAACGTTATAATACATATTTATCTATTAAAATTTATATCTATAAAATATATAGATATAAATCTGTATATCCATAAAACGTTACAATATACATATATCTACAAAAAATCAAATTATTTATAATTTGATATTAAAATCGAATTATTTATATTTTATTATTGATTCTTGTGTTTTTATATTCTATAGTCACAAATACCCGGACCACTTAGTGACGAAATAGAACAAGCGGAAGTGGAGAAGAAAAGACAGCAACGAAAGTTAAAACGTTTCAAAGAGAAAGTTAAACGGAAAGAGTTCGAGTTGAAGAAGCAAGAGGAAAACGAGAAACAGAGATTCTTAAATCTCAGTGACGGAGAAAAGGTGATAACACACACATACACTTGTGTGATAACATATATGTACATATGTTTTGTGTTGTATATATTTTGGTTTAATGTTTTAATTTTTTTTCGCTTTACAGAGAACATTAGTAGGGCAAAACCGAATGTTGAGTGAAGGATATACTGTCATATCACGATGTTTTCAGTGTGCCATTGATATGACCGACAAGGTGCCCTTTGAATATAACGCCAATCGTTTCTGTTCCATGCCATGTCTCAAAGAACATCGTCTTCACAATAAATATGTTATCTGATGGTGCATTATATCTAATTAGAAAAACTTGCATTAATTAATATACACCTATGATTATGGTCATAAGTTCACTTTGACTTACAGGTCACAATTGTTAGAGTAAAAGCATAGGATCTCATACACATTTAAGGGAGAATTCTGATCTAGCGGATAAAAACTTGATTTTTTACAGTTTTTGAATTGTTGAAGTGTCTAGAATATATCTAAAGCGATTTTTCGAAATTCGTAATATTGTGAAAGTTAGACTTTATATATATTTAAATTTGGAGACATATGTAGTTTAACGCGTTTTTCTCACGGTTTTTAAATTAGCAAGAAAAAATCTCGAACCGTTATTTTGAACCAAATAAATCCTGAATTTTTAAAAACTAGACACTAAAACACTTAGTAAACTAAAACACTAAAACACTTATTAAAGAATGAAGTATTGATAAGTTTCAAAATATTAAGAGTTTTCCTTGGTATGGAAAGATAATAAAAACTACTAATAAAAGAGAGTATGCTTTTATAATAACATAACTCATGTAAAAGTATTTGCGACTTTACAACACTGTATGAACATAGTATCACTGAGAAAAAAACATACAAGTTTTTCTAATAATCTACAATTATTTTCAGCATATAGTAGAACTAAGAACAGTTTTTTAAACTGCAATAAATATAAAAATATATAAACTAATCATATAACATATAAAACTTTGCAATAAATATGAGATGGTAATGTAAAAACTTGAATTATGAGATTGAAAGATAAGTGCTCCTCCTTCAGATCATAACAATATTATATTTTTGGGTTAATATAATTAGTGGATATACACAGAAAAAAGAGCATGTTCTTTTTTTACAAAGTATAATGTATTATACCATTATGCACATATTAACTCGCTAATATTTGACATCGTTATTTGGGTATTAGATGCCATACATACTTGTGTATATATATATATTGTTTTACATTTTGTATAGTATATACAACCGAAAGTTGTAATATAAAATGCATATATATACATATATACTACCAAAGGTAAAATAAAGATCACTTAAAGTTTACATATTTCCTTTCGTATTGTGGAATATTCGTGAAGAGATTTATGTATACAATTTATAAACTCTTGTTAATGACCAGTTTAGTATCACCAAAACTAAATTTTTACGTGCGTATTATTCTAAATAAATTTATCTTGTGACTTTAATATGATCGAATCGTACAGATACGACACGTTTTGCAACATATATGTAATACTCCTATATTGCCAGTACGGTGCCGACCTGAAGCTCACCGTTACGGTGCAGACAATATAGTAGCCTCTCTCTCCAGCTGCTTTGTGCGCATGCGGTGAACATTCAAGCACGCTTGCGCATTTCTCTTTCTCGCGTTCTTTCTCTCACTTTCCAATGCT